GTGTGCACACGCATGCACACGCAGGCAGGGGTAGGGATGCGTGCAGATGGACGGGCAGGCAGGCAGCATCCAGGGATGAGCACAGGTGTGCACACACCCATGCACTCAGAAACACACATGCATGCACATATGTGCACGTGCACACCCGCCTCCACACACACACGCTCACACACACAAAGTCGTGGGCACTACATGCACACATGTTCTCGTGTACACCCCGGGCCATATAGACCCAGAGGAACAAAGGCTCCAAGTGAAGCAGCACTACCCACACGGTGGCACACACAGGTACTGTCATGTCACTCACACACCTGGGCATATCTGCACAGACACTCCCGCTGCCCTGGTGTCACCTGCCATGCATGCACAATCACAACAGCCCTACGGCGTCGCACACCTTGCAGAGTGGCCTCAGAGCATGCAGTAGTGCACTCACAGGCACTGACAATTATGCTCTCCAGTTGTGCCCAACCACGCATGCAACACTGATTTCTGCACAGCTACCTGGGAGGCGTATACAGCTTAGAACTACACACAATCGCAACAATGCCATCACAGTCACACCAGCAGAGAGCTTCTCCAGTACCCATGAACGTAGCCTTGCTGAATCAGTTGCTGTTTTACACAACTCCACACAACCACAACTAAGTGGGTGCTTAATTGCACCACACTTGTGAAGACAGAGACACAGGAATAGGCATACAGATCTGATACTACACACACACACACACACAATTGCACTGTGCTGGCACTTGGCTCTCACACATGTGCACACATGCATGCACACACGCATGCATCCGAGCTCTGCCCCTCTTCTCTCTTCCTGGCTAGCACAGGGCCAAGGGGGCACTCCATGGGCAGAGATGCCTGCCCCAGCCTCCAGCATTCACCCCCACTTTTCCTGTAACTGGTTTAAAGGCTACCTCTGTCATGAGCATGGTGGATCTCACTACCCCACACATGGAGAGCCCATGGGGCCACCTTGCACAAATGCAGCCAGTAGCAGGGGTTGGCTGATGGAAGGCATTTTTACTGGTGCCAAGGGGCTAAGAGACACTTGGGAGGGAAGTGGGAGTTGGTGGGCAAGCAGTGCCTGTAGCCTGAGTGTAAATGAATTAGGGTTAGTGTGGACTTAGTTGGACAGGGCAGGGGAAGTTGAGATGAGAAGGAAGGCAGGCTGGGGGTAGTGGCTGTGTGCTGCTGCGAGATGGAACTAGGATGCTCTGGGAGGGGAAACAAGGTCTGGTGGCTTAGAGCAGGGTCCTGGGACTTTTACCTAATCATGCCCTGCCTTGGGGTCCTGGCTGTAGGGGAACACACCGCTGTGGTTTGGAATGGAAGAGACCAGGTGGGCACTTCTCCTGCTCACCATCTCTCCTCCCCCAGAGTGATGCTCATGTAGATGAATGGAGTTCCTCATGGAGCGAGCCAAGCAGAGGGAGCGCAATGGTGGGGAAGCAGATGTGTGCCCGTCACGGGGCAGACAGGAGTGGGGGCCACACCTGACCCTGGAGCCCACAGGAGGAGCCAGCTGCTATGACACTAGTGCACATCACCTGCGGGTGACAGGGACCTGGGCCCTGCCCCCCAGCACCCTCTATGCCCAGCCCAAATGGAGCAAAGCCCAGCGCTGCCCAGACCGTGGCACAGGCACCCCAGCACAGGGCAGGCGGGGAGTGGGGCCTGTTCCAGAGCCTGCCAGGCCATGCTGGAGGGCAGCATGGGGACCCAAGCTGCACTCAGCATTGACTCCAAGACCCCGAGATGGGACCACCACAGTGGTGACGCAGGTCCCAACCCTTAAGCCCCGTGGCCCCTACCATGCCCGGCTGGCAGCTCCTGGCTGGCTCCTTCCTCTGGAAGAGGCAGGAGAAGGTGTCCAACCAGAGACAAGGGGTGTGGCTTCTGAAGACCAATCAGAAGATGGTGGTGGCAGCCCTGAGGGCCACCTACTACTCATCGATGAAAAGGGGGTACCATACACGGTGCCACGGCAGGAGCTAGAGGTGGGGCCAGGGGCAGGGCCAGCACAGCTCACATCTCCACGACGAACACACTTGTGCCCCGTGTGCCTCCGTGCTTTCCTGTACCTGTCGGACCTGGAGCGACACAGCATCACCCACTCAGAGCTCAAGCCCCATGTGTGCCGGGCCTGTGGCAAAGCCTTCAAGCGCACCTCGCACCTGGAGCGCCACAAGCACATCCACACTGGGCAGCGCCCCTTCCGCTGCAGTGTGTGTCAGAAGGGCTTCCGTGAATCAGGCGAGCTTCTGCGGCACCAACGTGTGCACACAGGCGAGCGTCCCTTCCAGTGCCCACTGTGCCGCCTGCGCTTCACCGAACGCAATACCTTGCGACGCCATGCCAAGCGCAAGCATGCTCATGATGCCTGCTGTCCAGATGCCTGGGATCATGGGGCTCCGGGGCTGCCTGGTGCTGATGGCAAGAGCCAAACAGGCTGGGGGGAACCAGGTGCAGGGCTGGAAACACCCTAGTGGCACTGGGACCCCCTGTACCAGGGTCCCTGGGAGCATAGTGAGTGGTCGAACCTAAAGAGGCCCCAGCTTGGAGCCACCCCTAGCCCCTGGGATAGGGCTACAGTGGGGTGCCAAGAAGACCCCAAGGGACATGGGGGAGATCTAGTTGGGGGAGCCCCTATTCTAGCTTCCTCCAAGGCAGGACTCAGTGGCATGGGTGCAACAGGTGCCCACCCCTAGCAGGTGGCTGTGTCTGTTGGTGGGAGGGTGGTGCTGGTGTCCCACACATGGTAGAGGAGCACACGTGTGGCCATGGTAAGGGGTTGTCTGTCATTCTGGGCCCAGATGTGTGCTCGGTGATGAGGTGGATGCAATAAAGGTTCCAGCTCTGTACAGCAACTGTGTTCTGTGTTCTGAGATGGAGAGATGGTGGGAGAGGGGAGGGGCCAAGGCTCTCTTTTGGGGAAGGGTTGGGGATGGGATACCAGGCTAGATGGGCCTGAGAGGCTGAAGCTGGGGCAGATCAATCTATTTAAAAAAGGATGTTCTCAGACCCCAGATGTTAAACTAGAATAGAGACTACAATGTAAGAGTATAAGAATTTTAAAAGATGTTAACAGTTTTAAAGTGAATTCACTTTAAACCATTTCTGTAATTTCTGTTTGCGCAATGGTGCAATGGTTTGGGAGTGGATTTCCCAGGCACAAGTATAGTAAAGGAAGTAATGATAGCACTAGTAACTTATAAATGAAGCTCTATTATTAAAAATGAATGTTTCCCCTCTCCCTTATTTGAAGACAGGGATTTAGAAGCAGGTAGAACCAAATCTGAGTTTAAGAACTGTAAGTCCTTTGAATATATAAGCTAGCAACCCTGCTGACAATCAGAAATTCTGCAGAATATTAAGACACTAAAGCAGCCTTAACTCGGACCCTTACCTTGACATCCCTTCCTCATGTTCTGGTTTCTCCAGAGAGCAATATGGGCTAGGCAGGGGTGTCAAACATATGGCCTGCAGGCTGGATCCAGCCCATGGACTTGTCATCTGGCCAGTGGGGCTTCTAGAGGGGCAGGGTAATTAGGGAGGGGCCTGACACCAACTCTTAAGGTACAGAGCTCTATTGGGGACATGTGCCAGCAGCAGCACTGTACCTAGACTCCTGGCGGCCCAGGGAAAACTTTTAGTATCAGGCCCCACTTCGCCAGAGATAATGATAATAATAATTTTAAAAATTACCATTTTCAGGCCCTGCAGTCTGGATCTAGCTCAAATTTGACACATCTGGTACAGGTGGAAGACTACCGGGCTGGGCCTCAGGCCTGCTTCCCACCCCCCGCTTCTATTCGTGTCTCTGCCACTGGCCTCCTTGGCCAAGTGACTTCCTCAGTTTCCCCACCTGTAAAATGTGGCTAATAGCAGTCTACTTTATTATAAGAGCTAGCAGTTCCCCCTTCAGGGCTGTTGTATCTCATAGTTAGGCTTATGGGCTGTGGCCTTAATTTTAAACCAATTCTTTTCTATTTCAATATTTATTTGACAAAGATTACGTTTTGTATTAAAATAATCAATTCAGGTATTTAGCTAAGTATTAGCTCATTTTCTGTTTGGACTGGTTATTTTAGTCACACGGAGGTATTTATTCAAAATGTCAAGAAAAAGATTTCTAACCAATGAGTTAAACATTCTGTTTTCAAAAAATAACAATTTTTTTCAATGGAAATTTTACTTACGAAAATACGTTTAGGAGTCTGCTTTTCTCCTACTTGCCATTTGGATTGCCCAGTTTTGTCTCATGATGGGGCTTGTCCAACTTTTTTTAAATGGTTTTTAATTTAGATTTTTCATTTTTATGAATTAAAGTATTAGCAAACTAAGTATTTTTAATGTGGCACTAGCTTTATCTCTCCCTCTCTTTTTGATTAAAACCAGTAATTTTCCCCTTATGGTTAAGATGGGATGATATTTTTTCTTTAGCAGGAGTCTGATATGAAAAAAATACCATTACTTTTTTGATCAGAGTTAAGGCTACTTGTGAGTTATATTCACATTTTAAAATATTGTAATTGTATAACAATGCTTCAAGGACATGCCTTATAATACAATGTAATGTGATGTGGTGCAGTGCAATGCAGTATGCATATGTAGGTGTTACATGTGTGCATGTGTGATAATTTCAAGTTTGTGTATGTGTGTACTTAAGATACCCTGGTTCCAAAATGATACCTTTTATTAGACCAACTGAGAGAGTTTTCCAGCTTCTACCTCTGTGCAGAAAGGAAGTTTATTTCTTACATATGGAGACTTTTTTGTACCATTGTGAACTTTCCCTGAGCCTGATGAAGGGCGAATGTGCCCAAAAGCTTGCAGGAAAAGATATTCTTTTGCAATGTTTCAGTTGGTCTAATACAAGGTATCATTTTGGAACCAAGAGTTCTAGATTTTTGCAGTTCTTTTTGTCTCAGACCAACACGGCTACCACATACATCCCTTAAGATACCTGCCATCTAACTGTGCTCGCACACATGTACAGTATAAATAAATATATTTAAAGACTTTATTCTGAAAACAGAAACACGTGATAAAATTGTCAGTTAAAATGGAAAAAACCCGATGCTCAAAATTCAACTATTCTGACAAACCAAGGGGAACAATTTGTGAACTTCCATATTTTCTCAAAACACTTCCTGATGTCCAAAAAGGGAATTTTTCCCCCCACAACTTGTTCAGGAGCATGGGACCTGGCAGATGGGAGTGGAGGACTGGGCTGGGGTAGTGAAGTATCCCACCTCTTAGGACAGTCAGAAGCTGCAGGGGAGGCAGGAGCACCTACGGGGGCAAATGGCCCAGTGCCAGGACCCAACAGGATACCAGTTAGCCAAGGCAGTGATACTGGGGATTAAGGCCAGAATGAGCCATTATTGCCCTGGAGAGGAGGCTTCGCTGCAGGTTCAAATGAAAGCTGGATAGACACCAGCTGTAGAGGCATTAGGCGTTTCCAAGCACTAGCTTTACAGCTGCTTAGCTCTTTGCACAGCTCAATAATCACGTGTCTCGTGGGATGGCAACTTGTGCACGTGTGGCCGGGCTACATTTATTGCTCTTTCACCAGTCTTAATACATGGCAGAAGGGCAGCTCTCCCAGGGCAAGGCATGGGGACCTCTGTGCGCACCCCACAGGCAGCAGGACCCGACCCAGCAGGGGCAAGGCAGAGCGGGACGCCTCCCGAGGGCGGGCGCAGCCGGATCCAGCCCGGGACAGCTGCAACGAGGGGACTTGCCCAAGACCAGGCTGAAGGGGGCGGCTGGGGACGCCCCAGGAAGGTGGTGGAACTCGGGCCCCGCCCACACGGCACGGGGGAGCCGGTAGGGCGCAAGGGCCCCTGGGAAGGGAGGTGTCGGGGAGGAACTGGGGCAGCCCCGAGTCACGTGGTGCCGGCGGGGGGGCTTCCGGCTCCGGCCGCGACGCGGGGAGGTGC